CAGTATGGTATATCTCTGTACATGAGCCTGGACAAATGAAATTCAGTTTGGATACAAAAAATGCATAAATAGCATATCCTGTTTAATTTCTGACCATATATTTTGATATCTGTTGATACCAGACCAGCCAATCATTCACTCTCAATTGCTAACTATGCTTTTGGTCCATATTCCTTTTTTTTGGCATGAATAATAATTCCAACGGGGACTATGACTTGTTCAATTATATTTCCTTCCTAATCTTAATTAGATTTTCTAGAATATTTTGATTTAGTTATTGCAGTAGCTGAATGTGTTTTAAGTGAAAAGAAAAACACACTAGTGTGAGGGCGCTGTAATGCTCAAGTTCTTGAAATCCTGTCGCTGAATATAGAAAATTGTTACATGGCTCTATTATCTCTTGAAAATAATTTCATGAATAATGACACAACAATGAATTGTATAACAGTTGAATGTGTGTTGTCATTCAATATTTTTATTAGGAATGAAACTTTATTGGGAAGCTTTATAAAACCACCTGAGATTTCTGTGCCGAGACCTGCTGTAATGAGACAGAGAGTAGAAGTGAAAGAGAGGAGCCCTGCTGAGAGGAACCCTGCTGAGGTATCGTTATTACAGGACTCTTTTGTACCTAGACCAAGAATTCTGGGATACTCAAGAATACACACGCCAACACAACCTGGTAAGTAAGTTTTCTTTGCTGGTGAAATCTACTTTATGCTAACTTAGTCTAATCCTCATCATGTTTGGGAGCAAAATGCAATGCTTTTTTCAGACTTTATTTGACATTCTATATTATGTACATGTGGATAGAATGCACTAAGTGTGACATACTGTACTAAATAATGTATGTTGTGTTTGTCAAGATTTCAGTTTTACTGGGGACACTCCTATAATAACCAAAGTCAGGTTTCCTGAGCAAACTGTCAGACAGACTGTGAGGAAAACCAGACCAGTCAACGATTTATTACAATCACAGTACCTCTCAGAAGATTGGATAAACAATTTGTAAGTATTATGAAGGGCAGAAATGTAGTCCAATACATTAGATTTTCATTTCATTAATTAAGGTAGCGAGAAGGGTTTTGTGACGTTTTCGAATAAAACATTCTCTGTCTGTTGTCTGGTTC